ACCACCTTTACGACATTCGCAAGAAAGATTTATCTAAACCAGTTGCTCGGCACTTTAACTCTGCTAATCATTCTGAGCTTAATGCTATTGTTTTTGGTCTGTGTTTAACCCACTGCAGCAACAATCATCGTAAAACAAAAGAAATGCGCTTAATTCATTCACTTGGCACCGTTAATCCCCACGGGATGAACGAACGCTTCGCTTATAATTAAGTTATTTCCCACCTATTGTTGCTTTCGATCCTTTTGTTTTCCTTTGTTAAATGGCTTGCTTTTTTCTTATTGGTTTGTTTTCTCTCTCCTCTACTATATAAACATCTCTCTTACTCTCACTTTCTATTGACTCCGACGAAGGACTAACGTCCGAAACGTCAGTTACTATTTTCACTACGGTGTAAAACTTATCATTCTACGATAACTGTTTTATTAGAAACACCGACGCAGTCCACGCTAGTGTTTACTAGCCAACATCTACATATTGAAAAAAGTTTATTGACATTTTTATACTTGATGTACTTCAAGTTTATGTTACAAGTTACTTTTGTACTACATTTAAGTGATACATTTGTTGACAACTAGACATACACTTCAATAAAGTTAATCACCTGAAAAGCTATAAAGCTGAGGCCGACAAGGATTATGGGTAGATTCATTTTACACGTTCAACCGCTTGATAACCGTTCATGGACTTGCGAATCTTTTAACGTTACAGTCTCACCTCTTCTGAGCATCATCGAGCTGCAGTTTGTATTAAAAAAGCTTTGTATGTATATGCTTTTTTGATATGAAAAGTTTCCCATGATGCTCAGTGATCTCAGCTTTCTAGGTTTTTGATGACTAACTTTATTGAAATAAGTGTAAACAATTGGTGGCGTAAAATTATACTGTTAAGTTATATTCATGATTATGAATAAATCGCTGAAGGGTCTGAGCAGATTGAAGTGGAAGGGATGATGATCAAGTGGAGAAGAGACGCGGATGATAGGGCTTCTGGTGAAGATATTATGACATCAAAAAATATATATATAATAATAATAATGTTTATGACACTGATGATCTATCTACAAAGCTTTTCGCTGTTGTATCAAAATGTGGGACAATCACAACAGAGCTAGGCTCCAAACTAAGTGAAAGCCCAAAGATCGAATTAGAATTTAGAAGTTGATTTTTGGGGAGGGAGGAAACCCGGAGAACCCGGAAAACCCTCGAAGCACAGGAGTACATTTGTTGTCCACTGTGCAGAAAAAACTAATCAATTTCTACTCTTACTCCTCTACCTTGCATGTACTGTACTATAACCCAGCAAATATTAATGGATATTTACCTATTTACAAAAATACTCTGGTTTCTATAAATGATCACTTTTTCAGACCAAATAGCACTAGCTCCACACCAACAGTATGCAGATATGGTTTTAATCTTAATCTTAAAATTTTACTCTTAAAATTTTTACGCATGCTCAGTTGTAAGGGGATCCATGTTCCGTTTGAACAGCCACATTTGGTCCCAAGGGATCCAGATAGTAAGGGTCTGTCTGGCAAGCACTGTCTTGGACATGTGGACGTGGATTATGTGGAGATGGGTGAACCCTGGGGCTTGATTTACGTCTGTATGTTGCTTGTTCACTCTCTCGTATGTAGGCGACGTTGGTGTGTCCCGCTGTACTTACTTCTGACTCGCTGTAGGGAAAAAGTAAGATCGATGAGGTCAAAATATCATCATTTTTTTATCCCATCAATGCCAAGGGCGGATCCAGGGGGGGGGGGGCAGTAAAAAAACCCTGAAGAATTAGATGCTTTTTTTAATTGTTTTCCGTTGTGTTGACGGAAGAAACTCAATTAGCCCCCCCTTGAATGCATCCGCCTATCTATCCCACTACCCATCCATCCATCCCATTCAATTATCCATTCATCCCATTCAATTATTCATCCTCATCCCTCTACTTATCCCATCCAATTATTAATCTATCCCACTACCCATCCATCCATCCCATTCAATTATCCATTCACCCCATTCAATTATCCATTCATCCCATTCAATTATTCATCCTCATCCCTCCATTTATCACATCCGATTATCAATCTATCCATCCATCCATTGATTCATTGATTCATTCGTTTGTTCATTTCTTTTTTCATTCAACCAGCCTCTCGATCTGTGTCACGAGCCGATTAACCCCACCCCCATACTTACTTCAAGTACGGAGCCTTGTTGATGTAGTTCTTACAAACACAAATAAGAATAATAATGAAAATAATCCAGACGATGAAGAGCACCAGGATAGCGATGCACAGCGACTCCAGAGTCGAGTAGTCTGTGTTTGCTGTAGGAATAGAAATTACATCATTCGCATTAAAACATTTGTATAGAGAGGCTTTCGTCTATTGATTAAAATTGGAATTGAAAAGTGTCGTTAAAAGGATAGACGTCTGGATTATTATGACCCTCGATCAAATGGCTTTCTAAATGAAGCATTTTAAATGCGGGGACGGTTTATATTTGCACGATTTCGAATTGGTCGATCAAAGTGGAAGTCATTTCACGGTTCAGGTAGTCAGTTTACCATATGAAATGAAATTGTTCTATCAAATATTTATAAAATGTTGTATGATGGAAAATGTAAAAAGTCAACGTCAAATATCACAAAAACAACAAGAAAAGTTTAAAGAAAATTGCTATTGGAAAACTAGGGCTAATCATTTTACAGTGGTGTAAATGTATGCCGGATTTGAAGTGTATTTTTATGGGGGAAATGGAATTAGTTTTTTAGGAGAAATTAAAGGCACGATTAGTGTGCTACTTTTGGCATGCTAGAAGTTTGACACGTTAATAAAGTTTATGTATGTATGTATGTATGTAGGTACATACCTCGTGTTCCAGGGATCAAAACTGTGAATAGAACGAAGAACACCAACCAATGAAGGGAATCCATCTTCATCCGGCAAAAAGTGTAAGAAATAATTCCTCAACAGGAGAACAAACTGATTTTCTCTTATAACAACTTGCTGTACTCTGTTCCGTAGAGAAGACAAGAAAATATTGAATCCTGAACAAGTGGAACACAAGACTGCTACTGGAAAAAAAACAGAAAGTTTTTCAGAGATAAAAAAAGAAAACCTCTCAGAATGAGTATAATAACGTTAGAATACACACTTACTGAAGACTTTTTGTTAATGGGAACTCTTAGTTTTCAATCACAACATTACAAGCGAAAAATAACGCTTTGGTTAGCATGGTTACCATCACACGTAGTGTAGGAACTACGATTACGATAATGCTAGAAGACTTACCAGAAGTAAATTAAATAAACAGAAAACAATGAACACATTTCCTGACCCTGAGGGCTGTCAGCCTTAGTTCTGATATTCACTGTTGTGTTTCCGCGGGCTAAAGTATCTATAGCAACATAGCGAGATAGAAAAATTATGGTTTTATTTTTGAACGGATAAATGATTTATACAAAAATATCTCCGGCGAATAGAGCCTGGGCAAACGTCCAGTGGTGGGATTGTCGTGGACTCAGTGTCGTGCTGTTTCATCTGACATTCAAAGTAACTCACTCACACTGAGTTCTGCACTTATTTTATTCCTGAAAAACAAAAAACATAGGTTCACAAAGGAAACGAAAACACAACTGTCTAAAAATTATCGCAAACCAGAAAACAAATTCCTTTTTTTAAATTCATGGTTAGTTGTTCTCTGTAAACAATTTTCAATATTAAATTTTTCTGACTTTCCAAAAAACGGTTGGTTTTGCACATAACTCGCTGAAAAAGATCGTCTTTTTGCATCCAAGAGTTTGTTGAGAGACAAAGACTTATTCTAGAAGAACTGCACTCTATTATATCTAGATAGTTGCCATAGGCAACCTAGTAAATACAGGAAACTTGAACTCTTTGTCAAAACAAAGACGAGGCATGTTTATTTAAAAAAATCTGTTTTTATACTTTGTTTATGAATTGACTTGTTTATTCCAATTTATTATATGAAATTGTGGGTGACAATTTCGTATTGAATTCTCCTGTATAAGATACATAAAGATTTGACCACATTTATTTAAGACCCCAGTGCCAAAACTGAAACCTTACGTCTACGAGAATGCCTTGACCATCATCACGGTCATCCAAATCCGTTTGGTTAACTTAACCACATTTTCGAATACAAAGATATTGATTTCAGTGGAGTGAGAACAGCAAAAAAGTTTTAAAAAGTGATTTATATATAGTTTATTTTCTTCACTGACTTCGGTATTATACAAAGTAAAAATATTTTAACGAGGAATATAATAGGTTGAAAGCAATGAGAGTTTTTAAAAATACAAAATGAATTAAACATTTCTAGCAATTTACAGTGTAAAAGATTAGTCGCTTGTAAAACTTTATCTAAGAACATTAGAAAGACCCTTGTAATAAAGTTACAAGAAAACTGTAATATTATACGGGATTCTTCAGTACCCAATTTTTCAGAAACTTTTTAAATGTTTTTCAGGTCTCGTGGAAAGAAGGAGAGAGAGGTAAATTTGTGATAGTTTTATAAATACAGCTCTTTTTTATTGCTTTTCTGATAAACGAATTTTAAATAATTTAGTTCTAATCGTGATCTTCTGCTGTGTCTCCTGGGCAGTTTTGTGCTAAATCTGATTCATCTGCAACGAAAACATATGGATGAGAGAAAAATCTGTAATAGCGTGACTCTCAAATGATTTCCGCTCTGAACCAATCGAAAAAACGAGAAAGCAAACTATCCAATCACAGTGCTCGCATCCTTTAGCCAATGACGAGCAGGTGCGATATATAAACCAAAATTACACAAGTTGTTCTCTAGACAATTATATAAGTGTGAGTTTTAAAAAGAGGGGGAAAGAGAGAAAGAAAGGAGGCAGAAAGCAAAAAAGGAAAACAAAAAGTAAAATAAAGCTAGAGTGACCACAGTAAATCCATGAAACACTAATTACTAAATAGTACAAAATAGTGCTAGTTAAACAATAGAAAACAATGGAATTTGCATGAAATTGTGCTATTTAGTATTTCTAAAGTTTCACGGATTTACTGTGGTCACTCTACTCCTTTTATAAATCTCTCATCATTATTTTCTGCAACTGGTACATTGCCTCATTTTGGCATTGACATTAACAGCAGACTTGATTACCACAATAATATTTATGCATAAACTTTATATACTTTCTTACAAGAGAAAATGAACTAAGAGAAGGAATCACCACGCCCCATCATGTGCACACTTTGATGCTATTTTTAGAATCATCGATATTATTTTTAACTCATTACCATGCCCGCGCGATAATCATGCTTCCTTTAATGCCTCGTTTTAGGACACGAAAAGCGACAAAAACACAGGCTTTTGTTTACTGCAAGACTAGAAGCCGCCTACCCTCAAAGAATCAACTAATCAGGTTCTTCGCTCAAAATATCTCCAAGCTAAAAATAGCATCAAACTGTGCACATGACGGTTACAAGGCTATATAGGGGGGATTCCTTCTCTTAGTTCATATTCTCTTGCTTTCTTACCATTGTAGGTGATACCACACCATATACAGTAATAATGTTGGGTTCTCAAATATTGTGTTAATTGGATTAACTTTTCATAAGGCTGAAATATACACATAAATTAACATCAGCATTTAATTTTTCCTTTACCACTTATCATTGCAAATCCATGGATATAACTAAAAGGGCAAAGAGTATATCTCCAGGGCCTGGTTGTACGAAGGGTGGATAGTGCTATCTTTCCACTGGATAAGATTTATCCATCAGACAGCACTGTCCAGTCTTTTTGTACAACCGAACCCAGGACGTTTGAGACGGGGAAATTGTGCAGCAAAGGGGAAAACGTTTTTCACATTACTCAATAAAAAGAAGAAAATAATCTGTAGTACCTCTAGCTCTGGTTCATTTGTATTTTCAGTTGCTTCTTCTTCTTCTTCTTCTTCTTCCTCCTCTTTTTTAATCTCTGGCCAGAACCAGGCTTCTTTACATGTCAATTCCTAAAAGCAAATTTAGGTGCAATGTTTTTAGTGAATATATTTTGACAAAACAAAGTTAGCTAATAAGAGCAAAAGAAATTTGTTATGAACATTGGTAATAGATAATAGTTTTAAGGTCAATGGATCAATGAGTTGTAAATTGAAAAAAAAAAAATCAATAAAAGACAAATAACCTTTGCTGTGTCCAGTTGTTCACAAGCTTTCTGGCTCTTGTATAAATCTGATTGTATTGTTTTATCCACAAATTTGTTACTCATGTGTTTCCTGAAGTCTTCTTGTTTTATTTCCTGCAGCTTCGACCTCTTTTTCTCTCTTTCTTCAAATAATTTTTCTCTGATTTCTTGTTGCCTTTTGACATGCACATCTCGTCCAAGGCCTCCTCTATCTTGGATAAAAACAACTGTTTTACAAAACTTCATTTTCTAATTGCTGACCAGCCTATGACACTATTATTTCTTGTGATTGGTCAAAATTGAATTTTGTAATTAGGATATAACAATAATACTGATTGGGTGTGTGATGCCCGGGGGGGGTCTTCCCTATATTCGCTATGCAGGTACGTGCTGCCAAACAGAGTATGGTTTTCAGCGATCCTACTCTGCAACAGGGTATATATAATTGTGCTCGCTCTGGAACAGGGTATATGAAATGATGATCTCTCCTCTCTGGAACAGGGTTTTTAGCGATGTTGCTCTGGAACAGGGTATGACTTTCAGCGATTTTTACTCTGGAACAGGGTCAGGGTTCAGAGGGCTCAGCGGCACATCCATACCCTAAACCGGCAAGAGTACCCCGGGGCGTTATGAGCCAATCAAATTGCAGGATGCGTCCAGTAATGTGAATTTATCTATTTTATTTGTCTTTAGTTAGCTTCATCTTTTTAATGATTTTATCCTTTTCAAAGACCAGAATATCAGTTACTCATGCACTTTTTAGATCATGACATAAATGTTATATATAAACTCACCAGATTTTAGTGAAATTGGAATTGGTTCAGCCCTGCCAGTACCTGTAAAGAATTAAAAACAAAATCACTATCCCTTCCTCATAAACGAAGAAATCAGAAAAAAATCATGGGAGTAGAGTGGTGTTATTGCTCAATGATACAGTGTGGCACAGAGGTTATGCATGACGTGTGTTAAACTTAGTGCAATATATGTGAAAATAGCAAAATATAGAGCATGATTTACGAATTCATATGTTTGTATGGTTTGAGAGTGATCGTTGGTGAAGCCATGCGATATTTACGCTATATAAAATAGTTATTATTATTACTATTATTAATGTGCCATCGTGGGTATAAAGCTGTGATCAGTATATTCCTCAGCTCTCTAGAAAATAAATAAAGGTGTGAAAATTAAAATTTCCAATATTTAATACCTTCCTTTCCAAGGCCCGTGCCTTTCTTGTATCCCATCTTCTGCAGTAAAGCAAACCCAATGTTGGTCGAGTCGAGAGCAGTAGACATTCCTTCCTCTCTCTTCTCCTTTTCCTTTTCTTTTAAAGGTTTAGCTTTATTCTTCACATTAGAAAGCTTGTGCTGTAGCTCCTTTTTGATTTTATAAGCAGTACGTTTATCAATTGGAAGTCTCTCAGTGGAACTCGGAGCTTCAAGTAAATATTTATCTGACATGTAATCTTCTTCTTCTTCGTCCGCCATCTTGAAAAGTATTGGGCAATACCGCTGGTCGATGAAAAATAATGCCAGAGAAAGCCTGGGTACTAAATAATGAATGTTCGAAGTCCATCAACAGGTAACCCAATAATAGCATAGCTTTGTAACGCAGTTGATTTTGAATGTCTTTTATAATCTTTCGGTTTTTTACATCAAAGAAATGTTACTAGTCAATTTTGTCCCTGAAATAATCTTTTAGCGTTACTGAAATTGTCTAATGAATTTTGTGATCCAAAAGTCGACTGTGAGCTTCCAGTGCTTCACCCAAAGAAAGTGTTTAACAATTTAAATGTTTGAAATTTAAAACAAAACAATTTTTACAGAAGTCAAATTTGTACAAATGATATTAAGATTTGCGTTTAAAAAACGCCCAGGAGGTCTGAAGATCGCGCTCGACCTTGAGATGCAAGATGTAACTGACCGGAAACGGTATCGCATTACGTGACAAAGTCCTCTGAACCGAAATTTGTTTTTTAAAAGTTTAGTGATGCTTGTCTTCTGGTTCCAAACAGTTTTTGTCGTTCTAAACGCCATAACAAGGTAAGAAACACTGGATACTGAGAATATACTTTTGATTTCAATGAGAATGTTATATGCATTTCAAAAAAACTACAGAGAAGACCTGATATCAGTAGGTCTTGAATCAAGGTCTTGAATCAAGGTCTTGAACTGTGTTTCTTGATACGCGACAATGAGCACTCGTCTACTTTGCTGTAAAAATACTTTTATCCGTAGATGCATTTAGGAATCGAAATCAAGCCATTAAGTTAACCAACAAATATGAGCAAAAACCAGACTCTAGATAGCTAATATCTTTCTCCAGAGGCCCATAGGGGGCCGGGTAGGTAGAGGTATAAGTAGAGAATAAATTAACATTAAGCCCTTGGAAGTTAAAATAATATTGTTAAATTCGCAATGCTTAAAACTACTGTATCGATTAATGATTGATAGTGATTAATGTTTTAAACAGAGTGAATTTGAGAATTAATAAGATTTTTGTATCCGGCCGCTGAAGATCTCATTTGAAATAATATTTTGTATGTATGAGTATATTAATCACATTTCCGAGATGTTCTGTTGTATATAACAGACAAAAAAGATGAGAAAAGACGGCTGGTGGCTGGGTGGCTGAGGAAGTACTCGTAAAAATATCAAACCGTGTTACACAACTTTTCATGAATAAATAAATGACCTCTAGATATAACGGCAGAGCTCTCTTCCAGCAGAGCTGCTGACCTTTGCGATTACTGATCCGACTGCTTAACGATGTGCATGCCTCTTGTCATGCGTTTTGTTCTTATTCTTGTCTATATCTGGCAAACCTGGTACTACGGCAAGTGTACTTTAAGAAAATGCATGCCGTGTCATTTTTTGTTGTCAAACAACGGAAACTCCTAACAAACCAATGGGTGGAGAGGGAGGGGGTGTAAAGAATTTACAGTGGTAGCCCAAAAAACAAAATTACCGAGAAGGAAATCTGAAAAAAATCTTAATAGTCCCCTTCACAGTTCCAAGCGCCGAGACGAACGGTGAGCTGGCAAAGATGGAGACCTTCTTTAACACCTTGGATAATATTTCGCATGTCTCTATCATTGCAAGCTCACCGTTCCTCTCGCTTCGATGCAAAGGCACGGCTACCTTTCCAAGATGGCGCAGAGAACTGTGAAAGGGACTATTGTTTTCACTTGATTTGAAGTATATCACTGAGACAATGCCACGAACTCACGAACTCTATCTGTTCTTTTTGGAAGGTTTTTTTCGGGCAACGATAAGCAGAAGATACTGTATTGGTTCCTAGCTAGATGGACATATATCTCCCTTAAAGAGTGCCAGGCTGGTTTAACTAGGAGCCAATGCCATGAACTCTATCTGTTATCTTTGATAGTCACAACAACAACAATGAAGGCTTTAGACCTTTATACTTTGTTGCTATCAGATCAGTGCGATACCTCAAGGCGTACGTGATCAGTCAGAGTCATGTTTCAACCAAGGGCTCTTAAATTTGTTAAGTAAATCAAAACCGTAGAAGATTTTCTGTCACAACAAAAGCAAAGTCCGAACATCGAATGATACTAGTTTCTCTTTTGATCAGGCATGGCATGATAGTTAGTTTAGGTGTCAAATCTCTCCACGCGAGGTACTAGCTGCGTGTTTGTTTCCTCTTGAACGAGTTACACATTTACATGGTATTTTCTGTTTAACTATTCAACAGCAATCAGTCCCGCAAGCTGTAAACTATTAAAAGCAGAAAAGTAAAATGGCTCCACAGCTGGGAGGGCGCGTCCATCACGCCAAAGACAGACGGTCTGCTTTAAGGAGGCGACGGTCGCGATGGCTGGTCAAACACATGAATGAAACAGCCACGAATATGGGTGAGTAAAGGAAGAAATTTAATGCCTGAGAAACTGCGATTCTCAACGAAGAAAGTTCGTAGGCATATTGCATTGCTCGCGCGCATTCTTTTTACGCATGAGTTTAGTGTGCGCGCGCTCATTGTGATGACGTCATTTAAATGTTTTGATACCTCAAAACATCTAAAGCGCAGAGAACTGACTTCTAGAATAGGGAGACAATTTAATATTGAACGGTAAAGACGAGAAAGATGAGTCATGTTCCATATCATTTAGCAATAGTCCATTGACAAAATCACCACTGAAAAACAGTGGCCCGGTAGAGGTACTATATGTTTGCCATTTATGATTTTCCAATTTAATGTTGATTTTTTTGAAAAGGTTCACCATGAAATTACTAGTTGAGATCAATAAAATAAAAATTATAAGATAAAGGCTGTAAATTGGGCATGTAATTTTTTTTTGCGATCCGAAATCCAGTTAGCCGAAGTCCAGTCCAATCCAGCCATGCACGGTTCCGGATTTTCCAAAATTAAAAAAACTCTCACAATTCATACTTTAGAAGCGTATAATTAAAAGGTTAGACCATGGACATGTTTTTGCTATACATTAAGGTTATTCATGCCCTTTTAAAAGCTGAAAATTAAAAAAAAAAATTTCCAAAATAAAAATATTTCTTGAATTTCACAATTCATAAAGAAAAAGAAACATCAAAAATGACATCCTATTTTTTACGTATGTGTGAATCACCCATTATTCTCATCCTGTACCTCCACACGCACACATGATATCCAATCTAAATCGACCTACTATTATGACGTCATAACGCACGTGACCTAATTAAAGATCTTCATCGGCGAGATTGTCTCCAATGAGGTTCAAGTACCGAAACTTCTAATAACATGAAAAAAGAAGACCCCGACTTACTGAGGCTCTGCTCTGACACATCTCGAGCCGATCTTCTTTTCCAAGCGATGTTGTGATTTACACTGAATATGTGGTATGACGTAAGTAATGAAAGTCACGAACAAGGTATGTGATTCGTCGAACGGTAACCCTGGTAACGAGACTTCGATTTCCAACTGTATTACGTCTTCCACTGATGGAGTCCAGAACTTGCAGAAAACTGCTCATGAAAAGGTCCAGAATAGACGTGTTCAGTCGCATACAACTGGAGCAGGAAATAGAACCACTGGTACGATAACGAGCTATCTGTTAGATCACTCTTTGTTACTAATCTTTCTTAGCTTGCTATTCTCGCTGAGGTTTTGGATTAATTTTTAAAAATTTATGCACAAATATGACATATTTAGTAGAGCGTTTTTCGCATGATTTGGAAACATGCGGTACTAACTCACGATACCACATGCCATGATCGTGAAATGGCTTACTATTGCTTCCAGTAAATCATCCAATCACAACGCTACTAAGCGCTCTAAAGCACTATGATTGTTTTTTCATCTTTTCACGTTGTAAAATTTACCCTTTTATCAATATTGTTTCATTAGAAACACCGACGCAGCTCACACTAGTTTTTACTGAGCTAGTTATCTCTTCTTATGATTGTTAATGAGTAACTTTGCCAAATTTTTTTCTCGTCTTAGTGATTCTAGAAACAACAGGTCTCCTTGAGAGTGGTTTTCCACAAGTCTCATTTGTGTATTTATTGAAGAAAGTTCTATTTATGAGATTCTTCTGAGAAATTATGTCTGAATAATGAATTGGACGTTGCGCTGATTAGCCCGACCAAAAAATAAAAATAAAAACGAAATAAGTTTCCGAGAAAACAAATGCTGAAAATTTTACTAACAGCAATGCAAAACTGAAATGGTTTCAATTTCAATTTTAAGATTTTATATTCAAAGTCTCAGAGGCCAAGAATGCCCGAGTTTTTTGGAAGCCTATTCCAATACATATAAGAAGTATTAAGGATTTCCACACCCCTTTACACAACGCTCCTACAGGAAACCTGTAGAATGCTTACCACCTGCAACCAATCAGAACGCTTGATTTCATATGATTGTCAGGTTTATTTGCATTTGGGGAAAACACAGCATTAAGATTTTTTCAACGAAAACAATAATAACACAACCCGGTCTGTCTTGAAGCAATATCGTTAATTCGGACCAAGACGTTGACAATGTTCGACAAATATCCTGAAACCTACTAGTTCTACATCAACTTTCACAGCTTCTTCAGGACTGGGCGAACAGCGAACTGAAATTTTTGATCGACAAATCGCGGTAAATATACCATCAACAATAATAAATACTGACACAAATTAAAACTGTATTCATAGCTCTAAAGACATCTGAAATTTAAACTATTTTTTGGAAGTTTTCTTTTTAAATTATAATTTGTAGTTATAGTTTCCAGAAATATTATTTTTCTTAGTTGAGAGTTTATATCCTTGAAGTATATCTACATGTTAGCTGACGGACAAACTTTTTTGGTGCTCCTCTCATGCCGAAAAATATCTAATTAAAAACAAAGCTGTTTAATGGATCATATGGCTAGAAAACTATAAAAATTGTTAAAATTATTCTATAACTTTCCTAAAAAAAGACTGTACGAAAAACTATACTTTTTAGAATCAACTATTTCTACAGCAGATAAAATCGTTTTTGTTTTCAAATTCAAATGTTGGACTTTGAACTATGAACTATGAGTAACAAAAGAATTCTAAACGACAAATGTTGTCGTTCAAGGTACTTTATGTTTACTTTTGTCTTCTTTGAATTAACTTTAAAAACATTTATTAGAAATACAATTAATGGCTTTAAAACTTTGTTCGTCTACAATTGACCGCAAAGAATTTAAAGGCTTACCTCCGAGTGATAATGCTTTTTCTAATTGAATTTTATTTATTTCTTAAAACCCGTGCTTTATCTCAAAACAAAATACCGTTTAAGAGTCTTAAAGCTTCTAAGCTTGAAAGTTATATATTTCATACTGTTTCTAATTTGCAAATGAATTTTATGCTAGTATATCTTATTTCAACTCAAATGTTCTCAACAACCAGTTGTTGTGGTTTTAGAAATTGTTCTCAAAACGCTTAATCCTCACGATTCGAGAACTAAAATCTTGAAAACGATTTCTGAAGATTTCGTTCGGGCTCAAAAATCGTAATGATATTTTAGTCCTATTTAATTTTTGTATTTTGATATATATTTATTAGAGGGTGCCAATAAGCATGGGGGTACCCAAATATCAGTTAACTATACTAATGTTTCGGCCGTCAGTTAAATGTTAATAATTTTACGAGCGCTGGCCATAATATTAATCAAAGCTAATGAAATATCAGGTAACTACTATTTTTTGGTCAATTGTTTGTTAACTATTAATCTCACTGGGAGCTTCTCAATACAAAACGCGCAGCGTATTGTATCACTCAATTTTAAATTCTTTGGTCGATTTCGTTTAATTAATTCATTATGAGTTATTCATCTTGATAACCGATAATACTGTAAGCTGACTATAACATGGAAAAGTAGAGCTATTTCGATTCTGATTCATTAGTTATGTAGTTCAGATCGTCAATCAGGTTTGCATTTGATATACAATAGAATGATTTTCACATAACCGTGAAAGAAAATAGACCATTTAGTTTGTAATAGTTGATAAAGAACAAAAGAAAATCATCTACTACTAACTATTAGTTTGCCTATTCTTTCACGATCATATGAAAATCACTCTAGCAATGCTTGGCAATTAATGTTACAAGTATAACTGAATAAAAAACAGTTTGTTAACATTTAAGGGAAAGAAAGTAAGAAGGTCAAGGAAAGGAAGAAAGAAAAAGAAAGGAAGGAAGGAAGGAAGGAAGGAAGGAAGAAAGTTTGTCTTTGCATGAACAGCATTCATCGTGGACGCGCGCGGGATAACAATATTGTTTCTTGTTTCAGTGCCCAGTCACCAAAGGATGAATCGGTTGAGTCGCATCAGTAAAGAAGACAGGTCTGACAGCTTGATTCTTATTGACAATGAGAACGACGCTACAGAAGTCAAATTTGAAGACCCTTGGGTACCCCTGAATGGAAAATCGAACAAACAGTACCCTGAATATGGTAAGTTTTGCATTTAGTTGGGTTCAAGTCTCAATTGGGAAACCATATAGATGTTGTTGAAACCCATTTCAATGTTAAACGTCAGAAAGCCATGCAAGTGTCGATCATTTCAAGTAGAGGAGATTTCTAAAGGATGTAATGGAATCAATTTCTGGCCACGTTAAACCATCATTTTTAGTGCCAGGGTGTTGGGAAACCATTTTAATTTCAATAAAACCCACTTCAATGTTAGAAGGCCATTTTAGTGTTACTGCAATCCTTTCAACATTGTTTCAATCAAGGATATTTCTAATGGACTAAAAAATATTTCCTGTTCTTTTTCCAGATCTTCTTCCCTCCACTTCAGACGACACCTCAGAATCGACCAACAAACATTTCCTAGAGGTTCCTCTGACGCCAGAACTGAGTGCCGACGAGGAAGACGACTTAGACGAACATTCCTCATATCAGGTTCACTCCTATAAACGAAGATATTGGATGCTGTTGATCTTCTCGATGGTCAGTTTTGCTCAGTACTGCTGCTGGAATACCTACGGTCCAATAGCCACCACAGCCAAGGCGGTATTTAATTGGTCCAATACTGAGRTAGCTATACTTGCAAGTATGGACCCTATAACCTATCTTTTTACGATGTTATTCTTTTCCTGGTTGATGGACGTGAAGGGCCTGAGGAATAGCATGTTGGTGTCGACCGCTTTCATGTTTGTTGGGACTGGGCTGAGATGTGTTACAACCGACCCGAAATACGCCATTTGGTAAGAAAACAACAGCGCTTGTTTCACTGACACGGGTGCACTTGAATTACATAATTAAGAAACCAGTGCTATGTTGACCCTTAAATGGCTTTCTTAGTCAAGCATTGTGCTTTTTGAATGGTTCAGACTGGAAGTCACCAAGACCATCGTACAACTATAATTGTCTCATAAGGGAGGTAAATTGAGTGTTAATATGACTGAGAAAACTTGATTTACGCAACTGACTTGGTAACGGTTCTTGGCCGGCCGAAGCATGCATTTTGAGCTGGACGGTCAGTCACATCGCGCGCGCAGTTCTGTACCGTTAGCGTGCCGTGTCTCGCCTTCCTTATCTAGACACTCTTTATGAACAATAATAGAAGTTTTACTGACTATTGTCCTTGTATTCTCCTCAGGTCTATGGGTGGTGGTCAACTTCTTAACGGTCTGGCTGGTCCAGTCACTCAAGCAGGTCCGCTATTACTCTCAGCTTATTGGTTTCCATCTCACCAAAGAACAACTGCTACTGCAGTAGCTGCGCTTTGTGGTTCGTTAGGCGTCGCCATGTCATTTCTTATTGGACCTGGTTTTATTAAAGACGTTAAAACTGAACTTGACGCCCTGTTGCCAAAACCTCTCAACCAAACAGCTAATATCAGGTGAGTTTCGTACGCCGTGTATGCGCATGTGTAAAAGAATTTTGTTAAAACGCATCCCACATGGACCAATGCGACAATAAGAAAGCAGTCACCAGAGAAACAAATCAAGAATCGCTGGTCATAGCAAGGGGTTAATCATCTTTTGCAAGTAAGCTCACGATTGCCGATAGTTGGTGAAGTTTTTCT